TGTGATCCATTTTGGATTTGGATTTATAGCAAATCAGGAAGTCGTCAACATAAAGTGAGCAGTCAATATTGTTTTGAAGGGTTTTTTTTGATTGATTGGGTAGATGTTTTACGGCACTATCGACACAATTTTGGTCATTTAAGCGCCATCAGGTTTCATCGCTACAAAATCAAACGTGTTTTTAATAAGAGTCTTTCGGAGCTCGCAACCGCAAACGATCACACTATTTCTATTATGCTAAAAAGACGAACAAACATTTATAAAAAAATTTTTGTAAATATGGAAAAGGTTTATTTACATTTGTATATACAATACAAATCCCAGTGTATGTATATATACACCGACAACGACAACTATATATTTTCACATTTTATTAAACAGTTCAATTTCTTTTATAAAACTTAAAATTCTTCTAGGTTCTATGATGTTAAAAAGGGTCTTAATATCTTTACATTTAAAATATTTATCACGGACATAATTAAAGTCGACACATTCCATTAGGATGTGCCGAACTGTGAAATCTGTGTTGCACGCCATGCAAAAAGGAGCTTCCTCTCCTTCGAGCAAATATTTGTGCGTGACGTGCGTGTGTCCTATTTTTAGTCGGGTAAAAATTACTTTTTCCCTTCGTGGTAGAGAAAATGGTTTCCTGGGCGTAAGTTTCGGTTGAATGTAATGGAGTTTGTTGTGTATTTGTTGATTCCAACTTTGGGACCAGGAGGATGTGATGTGTTCTTTTACTTTCGGTTTCATGTCAGAGAAAGGGATTTTACTATTTTTGTTTTCAGGTAGTTTTAGAGATTCTTTGGCAAATTGGTCAACGGCTTCGTTGCCATCAATGCCTACATGGCTTGGAAGCCAAGCTATTGTAATAGTTTTTCCAGACTGATGTAGAAAATGCAGTTTAATGATAAGTTTCAAAATTCTGTTGTCGGAGGTTTTTTGATTGATTGGGTAGATGTTTTACGGCACTATCGACACAATTTTGGTCATTTAAGCGCCATCAGGTTTCACCGTTACAAAATCAGACGTGTTTTTAATAAGAGTCTTTCGGAGCTCGCAACCGCAAACGATCACACTATTTCTATTATGCTAAAAAGACGAACAAACATTTATTTTTAAAAATTTGTAAATATGGAAAAGGCTTATTTACATTTGTATATACAATACAAATCTCAGTGTATGTATATATACACCGACAACGACAACTATATATTTTCACATTTTATTAAACAGTCCAATTTCTTTTATAAAACTTAAAATTCTTCTAGGTTCTATGATGTTAAAAAGGGTCTTAATATTTTTACATTTAAAATATTTATCACGGACATAATTAAAGTCGACACATTCCATTAGGATGTGCCGAACTGTGAAATTTGTGTTGCACGCCACGCAAAAAGGAGTTTCCT